TCTTTCACAATAAAGGCCTCCTCGGCGGTGGTTGATGGTGATGCTATTGCTGCCCTCGAGCGGTGTTATCAGGCTTCGCCTGCTCCTGATGTTCCATCGCCTTCGCCTTCTGGTTCTCTGGACTTCGGGCCGGTTATGAAGGGAGGGCAGTACGGCGCGTTTGGTGCTGTCACTTTGGAAAAATCGAAGCTTGATTTGACGCAAAAGCAAACGAAGTCTAGTCCAGAGGTATTTTTGTGGAGATGTATTGATAATTGTGGTGGTCGAAAAATGATGTGTGTATTTTCATTTTGCTTTGGAGCCATTGAAATGTGCATTTAAGGGTTCATATTTCTATCGCAGAAATTGATAAAAGGCAGCTAGGTTCATTATTTTAGTTTGTGCCATTTTTACCTGCTTAATCTGGATAAGGAAACTATCAAAAGGCAGATTTTACCTTTTGTTTTGGCGTGTCTGTCTGAAGGTACTTGATGCTGTTTTAGAATTAACACCTAGAGAAACAACTTCACAATCTTATTTGCTAAACAGACGAAGCAGTTCTAAAACTTCTCCAGGGAAGTGCATCTTCCCTTTGATTCTACTGTTTCCACCTCAATCTTTTCTAGCGAGATAATTTGACGTCCTTTTCATTGATATTGTTTCGAACTTTGGTATTTTTCTGAATTTTTTAGTTCCGTTTTCCTGGGATGTGAGTTTTGCTTCATGGAAAATAAGGCGGTAGGATCCGTGTTTTGGGCCCGGGATTGGGACCTTCGAGTTTGAATTAGGAAAATTTGTAATTTTCTTTGTTTCTTCTGTATTTTTCATATTTCGAGCCTATGATAATCCTCTAATACTCTCAATCCACTAATCCATCATATAAAACAAATTCCAACTCGAGGTTATGTGTTGTGTTATATTGAGCAGTAGCAATCGATGCATCCTTTTGGAGTATGATATTCAAAACTGCGAATCTTTCGGATTTCAAGTCTTGGGAATAATAATGAGTACCAAATATAATCATGAAAAATTTTCAGCTTTCATTCATTTGCTTCAAATTGGCAGTATGAAGTAACTCCTGGTGGGTATACACTAGTGTACAAGTATGAGAAGTCAATAATACTGTACTATAATTGGAGTATCTATAGAAGGTCTGGAGAATTGATCAGACTAGACTTTATGATAACCAAGCACATCCCACATTTCTCAGCCCAACTTATTTCAAATTTATTACCATTTCCTTTAGGATAGGGGCTTTAATTTGACAATTCTTGATAAGTTATTTTTCTTATATGTGGTAATATGACAGCTTTCTACTGGGGGAGGAGGCGGTAATATGGGCAAGGGGCTTAGTCATGGTGGCGGTGACGGGGGTGATGATGGTGGCGATGATGATGATTACTTCGATGACTTTGATGAGGGTGATGAGGGAGACGAGGGTGGACTGTTTAGACGGCGTATTGTTCTGCCAGAGGTAACAAACTGATGCAAGAGACATCCACACACTTACATGGCAATGCCTATATCTTTTTGTAATTTATTCCAATTCTTTATCTAACATATTTTTAGATTAGTAATGTTTTATGTTCTTTGCCAGTTGTTTGACCGGAAATTTATTGACGCTGTATTGAACGAGTGGCAAAAAACAATGATGGATTTGCCCGCTGGATTACGTCAAGCTTATGAAATGGTAATGTTTTACCTTTTTCTTGTACATTCTTCGGTGGAATTACTTGATGACTGGACTCTGATATGCAATTGCCTCCAGGGTTTGGTCAGCTCTGCTCAAATGGTGAGATTTCTGGCAATCCATGCCAGGCCTACAACTGAGAGGTTCATATCCCGGGCACTTCCGCAAGGAGTATCTAGGGCTTTTATTGGAAGGTAAGTTTAGACCATATGCTGACTTGTAGACATCGAGGATCTAAATCTCGTTACCTTCCTTCCTCTCCCTCATTGTAGATCAGTTAGTGTTTGATTTTACAATGAATTGGTTTCAGATTAATACGATTAAGTGGTTGCTTATGGAATATGTGTATTAGATGCTACTAGTGTATGAAGGCTGAAGTTTGTGATGACACGAGATACTTTGATATGAATGCACAATTACATGTTGCAAGTTCAGAGCACAATAATTATTTTGATGTCAAGATGTAAATATATTTCTGAAATTAGAATGCTTAAGATGGAGACCCTGCTTGCATGGTTTTCAACTCATCAGGTGCTGTTATAAACAGTTTACTTAGGGTTATGTTTGTCATTGGGGGTAGCGGTTCTAGATTCATGTTCCAAAATGGTATGGTAGAAAACTTGGGGCGACAATAGTGACTTTGGCTATGATAACATCCAGTCCACTGGATGAAGAGGCTAATTATATTTACCTGATCGAAGGTTTGGTTATTTCTTCCGTTATCAGAAGCTCTCTAGACATGTTGTAATGAGACTATTCCATGTAGCTCTAAGAAGTTTTCTTTACAATTTCCTCGTTACTTGAATAAAGAATAGCCAAAAAGAAGGTAATTATCACAAATTGGATTTGTCCTAGTGTATATGTAATCAGTTGTTTCGATAATGGACCCGATGGTGACCCAAAATTCCGATAATTCATCCTAGTTTGTTGTGGCTGGTATGTAAACAGACGTTCCTTGCGGTTGTTCAACTCTTTTAAATCTGTATGCTGTGCAGCATTGTTGCAATGGATTTTGTTTTATTTTCTTTCTACAGATTATATAATAGTTTAGAACTAGATTTTTTGGAGCTGTCTTCTTTCTGAAACATTACCAAATTTTTATCTGAATCTTCTTTGTCTGTACAGGATGATCGCAGATCCTGCCTTTTTATACAGGCTGCTTCTTGAGCAGGCAACTACTATTGGTTGCTCCATTTGGTGGGAAATCAATAATCGCAAAGAGAGGTCACATTTTATGGTTTTGTTAGGAAGGAATTAAAACAACATTGTGTTTGTTTGTCTTATTAGCATGATAAACACATCACTTCAATGCAGGATAAAGCAGGAATGGGATCTTGCGCTTATCAATGTGCTTACCGTGACAGCTTGCAATGCCATGGTTGTTTGGTCACTTGCTCCTTGTCGTTCGTATGGAAATACCTTCCGTTTTGATTTGCAGAACACACTGCAAAAACTCCCAAATAATATCTTTGAGAAGAGCTATCCACTTAGAGAATTTGACTTCCAGAAGAGACTTCATTCTTTTTTCTACAAAGCTGCAGAGTTGTGTATGGTTGGATTCACTGCCGGAGCTGCACAGGGTGCTGTGTCCAACCTTGTTGCCCATAAAAAGGAGGGAAGGTAAAATTTGTTTGGTAAACGGTACATGTATTATTCTTGCCAACACATTTTACTATTTAATCTGGCAATTGTTGGTTTTGTAGGTTATCTGTGACCATTCCATCTGTGAGCACCAATGCACTGGGTTATGGAGCTTTCCTTGGCCTATACGCAAATTTACGATATCAAATGCTGTGTGGTTTCGACAGAGCAGTTACCAGCTACTTTGATGTTATTGGAGTAGCTCTGTTCTTTAGCACAGCCCTGAGGTATGTTTTCTCGGTATTTGATCTTTGTAGGTTGCATTTGGGAATTTTTCCACTCCACGAGATGGCATTTTCAGTTATTTAAACCGTTCACCAGAAGTGATTTCCTTAAGTGAGTTTACCCTGTTCTTTTCTCACGGCATGCTTGATTTAAATGGTGAAGACCAAATTTGTTGGCTATGCTTTTGATAATTTCCTGTGGTCGTTTGCCCCACTTCAAGAGAAATTTAAGACCTTGATACTAAACCAGTAATTTAGAGTCTACCCGGCTTTCCTATTGCATTTCAATCATGCTTTGGCACTTCACAATGTTGGCTGCAGCTCGTATGGTAGAAAATCTGAGTTTCAAATGCATGCAGGGTACTGAATGTCCAACTAGGAGAGACATCAAGGTTGGCTTGGCTTGGGGTGGAGGTTGATCCATTGGCTCATTCGGACGATCTCTTGAAGAAGGCTTACAGTAGACCAGCTGAAGGAGTCAATCAGCCTTCTTCAAAGTGGTTCATATCCAAGAATGCTATTGTTTCTGGGCTCGGACTTCTTGGACTTAAACAAGGACAAAGTGACTCTATCGTCGATAGTGAAGTGCCTCCCCCCAAGGCTCGGCGAAAGAGAATTGTTCGGAGAAAGGTGGCAACAAGTTGAGGCAGGTTAAGTTTCATTCAATTGAGATCAGTTGAGATCAGCTCTTCAATTTTGTAGTTCGATATAGCTCCTCACAGACATGCCCTCATTAGAAGCCGATCGGGACATGGTATTTGTTGATAAATCTTGTGGAAGTCCTGTCACGGGATCATGGACAGGCGGCGTGTAACTGTATGACTGATGATATTTGGCAGTATTCATTTATTAGCCCATTGCTTTCCAAATTTGGTATTTGATGATTGTAACAATAATTTATTGGAATATCGATTGATCTTTCCGCTTTTTTACCCTTCCTGTAAAACAGTTCCTCTGTCAATTTCTGCTTAATTGTCTTAAATTTCTTCTACTTTGGGACCTTGAAATTTCTATGGTAAATGGCTTTCAATTATTTCTTAGTGTTGAAAGATCTTGCCGAAGTCTCTCTTAGACAAACTGGTAAAATTATAAAAGAGATTATGGCAAGATAAACAGTTTCTTGTTCCGAACCTACTTTATGTGTTGCACTAATAATTTGGTTCTTGAACTGAATCAATATAAACAAATTGAAAACCGAAGGGGAAAGGAGAAGATTATGCAAAAAGATTTGTATAGATGGAAAATGCTGAGTGAGGGTAAGGAATCCCTGGATTATGTGAGAAGAAAGGAAGCATTTCTGGCTGGCCACACTTTCTGTGTATTCACTCCATTCCACACGCATTCTTCTATAGTTACGTACTCACTTCCATTATATTTACTCACATGTACATACAACTATAAACACAATCACTTCCAGTTACTTAGTACCAACAAAAACCAGTACTAAGTAGTCGTTAACGTTAGCAATGGCCATTTCCAGTACAGTTCTCACACTCTGGTTTGTCTTCCTTGTAATAGCATCAGGTAACATTTTATTTCCTCCTCTTATTCGGTAATTTACTCGCGTGTTCCATAATTTTTCGACTTCAAATTTATTGAGAATGAAATGATGGTACCCTCGAAAACTAATTTCTTTTGCATGTTAACAGGGATAAGATTGTCCAAGTGCACAAATTTTACCATCATAAATTACTGCAAAGAGACCATATGGCCGGGAATAACTGCAAGTAACAACTACACTGGTGGAGGCTTTGCTTTGAAACCAACCCAATCTGCCGTCTTTACAGCCCCATCCGGGTGGAACGGTCGGATATGGGCTCGTACAGGTTGCAATTTTGACAAAAATGAAAATGGCACTTGCCAAACAGGTGGCTGTGGAAGTAAACTTAAATGTACCGGGCCCGGCCAGCCTCCTGCTTCAATTGCTGAATTTACCCTTGGAGATCCTGATTATTACGACGTTAGCCTTGTTGATGGGTTTAACTTGCCTATAGTGGTAAAGCCTGTTAATGGCAAAGGAAATTGCCAACCGGCCGGCTGTGACAACGATTTACGACCAAATTGCCCGCCGGAACTTACTGCCAAGACTAAAGATAAGATCATTGCTTGCCAAAGTGCGTGCAATGTATTCAAAACTGATGACTATTGCTGCAGGGGTGCATTTTCCACCCCTATAGCATGTGTGCCTACAAATTATTCAAGAATATTCAAAACTGCATGCCCTGCAGCCTATAGCTTTGCTTATGATGACCCTACGAGTATCATCACTTGCAGTGCCACGGATTACACTGTGACATTTTGTTCCTCAAGGTATGGAAACAAAATCTTCTTATCGTTAGTTCAGAACAGTACTATATAGTATTAAAGAAGATAAAAAAATAAAAATCCTGTCGAGTCAGTAATGTGTACCATACAAGCCTTTAAAGATGAGTACAATTTGATTTGATAACCTTATATAGAAACCTTCATCTTGGCTGCATGAAATCTAGGATATATCAAATATTTGCTAACCTTTTCTGGGTTGTGACTAGGAATCAAACAGAATGCACATATCATGACAGGCAACTTACTTGTAATGGATCAAATGGTAAACTTGGGGCACTCTCCAAAATGTGGAAGCTCTGGGTGACGGCATTGCCAGCAGCTATCAGCTTACCAGTCATGTTTTGATTCTGTCCACCGCAAAATTTTCATAATTTCGATATATGTTTTTCACCGTTCTGGCAATTTTGCTTTACTGTTGTCGCCCTCATGAATGTAAAGAACAATCTAAATCCATTGTTCAAATGCTTTATACATTGGTTCTTACATGTTTGTTCTTTCAACAACAACGAAGTAAAATCCTGGGAGAGTACATAAAAAGATGCATCAAGAAAATCGCAAAGGGAAAAACAAAACAGAAGAAAAAGAGAGCATCTCTGCAATATCAAACCTATTCAGGTTAATTAACGCTCCGGGTTTTTTTCTGATTTCCCCGTGTGATTCATTTTCTGCTTCCGAATTGCAGCAGGAGATTCTTTTTCTTCAAATGGCAATACAACAACAGGAGCCGCTGGCACGGTATCCCAGCGCTCCTTAAGAAAGCTCATGAACTTCAAAACCATTTGCCTTCTAAACTGAAGCTCCGTTGTGAAGAGATCAAAAATGAGAAATGCTAGAATGTATCTGAATGGAACAATAAGTAGAATGGTCGAACCCAACAGTAGCACCAAAGCAACCTCTGTTGTTATCTGAAAAGATTAAGCGGAGAATTTCAATTGGATTTATAAGCAAAGAAAGACGGGGTGCGCATGCACACGCACAGCGATCCACTTTAGCCGACAATATGATGAATGATATAATGCAAATCCAATCATACATTTTATCTTCTTAACCTTCCTTTACACAAAATGTCTTAATCTTTCAATCTACTAAGTTAAACTCAGATTTCACCATGTATTGCCTTAGCTCTTTGGCTCAAGTTTCTATGACTGCCGTAATTAAGTTTTCAGAACCAACTCCATTCCACCATTATAATAGTATTTTTGAAAGACAAAGCAAAACCAGAAGCTGAGAAGATACCACTATAGCATCACTTAGTGTTCCTTTGGATATTGGAATAGGGAAAGGAGAGCAAACCACAAGTGAAAAGTCGAAAATGAACACAACCTGAAATTTATGTCCTGCTTGGGTGCCTAGGAGAAACAGTTAAAAGCATTTTAACCTCATAATACTATGTGCACGTGTGAAAAAGGAGCAGGTTGCTGGGTGGGGGTGGGGCCCCCGGGTGAAGGGTGCGGATATAGAGGTGTGAATTTAGGGGTGTAAAATGGCTAAGGTGCTGTTTTAGGGCACCTCATGACAGGTCAACCTCACAAGCAGGGCCTTGCACAGATCGAGATCCAGTCTGTAATGCCTTTAATTAAAAGAACAACATTTTTGCAACATATTAGCTAATGATCCACTTCAGAATCAGTAAAAGTTGACTTAGATACATCCCATCCTCCTAGCCTAAATTCACAGTCCCTCTTTTTTGAAGCATAGATGAGACCTCACAATAATTTTATTAGGGATTTTTTATGCCAAAATAATATTACATTCTTGCCATCTTATGCTTTTACCCTTTCAAATAGCATTTTTAAATGGTATAATTTATTAGTTGTCACCCTGCCCTGAGGACCCTGACCATGAACAAAGAGCAAGAGAGAAGTGCAGAAGGAAAGATATTTCTCCACTTCATACTAGAAAATGTGGAAGGTTGTAACTCCCATGCAGTCTCACATTAGACCAAGCTTAGCATATGCCCATAGACAACATACCTGAGGTTGCCCCGCAAGAACGATAGATCGTATCTTAAGGAGTACAACATTCACATTCTGGATATATTTCTCCATTTCACGTATGGCTTCTTTCACAGCAATAATTTTCTGAATTGTATTTGAGGGAGGCTGATCACGAATTGTAACTTTTCCAAAAAATCTTCCAAGACGGCCTTGCTCCTTGAGGCCCTTCAATAACAACATGCCAGCAGCCAACATCATCAAGCTCACTGGGAACACATAAGACAGTAGGTTCCTGACAAGAATAAATACCGGACCTCATTAGGCTCAATCCTGAAAAACTTGTAAATCTTAATGACTACACTCGACAAGTACAGTAGACCTCATGCCAGAACCATCTTCCCATGAGTTGCCAAAGTTGAATTCTATCCAGTTCAATAAAGGTGCTATCTTAATTCAAATATGAAAGATATTTGACATTAGCACATCCTTTGATATCATGCAAAGTAGTTATATTATTGAAAATGAGTAATAAAAAAGAGCTCCAGTTTTCGAAAGACTTCTTGTTACTTGTAAGAGTAAATTTTAATTGCAGAAAATTTTGCAAGGTTAATGAGGGAGAAGCAAGGCTTGCAGAATGCAAGGTTCAAGTTCCAAATATAAGTGAGAAATCCATGTTTGGAAGATCATTTAACAACTGCATGAGCTGTTGATGTATTTGAATTCTAGGTTACCAGCTAACAAGTGTCTGAATATCGTCCATGATCGTTTTAATTTTTTAACTAAATAGAAGATATGAAATACATAAACAAATGGCAGCCGGGCAAGAGGCATTGATTTGAAATTACTCCAGGCTTAGAAAGATGTAGTGAAAGATCGAATCACAAAATCCTCTGGTTGCTTACCAGTTTCTGCAAGGGGAATAAATTGGCAATTCAGATCATGAGCATGTTTGGAAGTGATTAAAATCCAATTAAAATTGAAAATATAGCCGTTATTGGGTCCCATTCATTTAATAAAAGTCAACAATAACGGCTAGTTTTTCAATTTTAATTCGATTTTAATCTCTACCGAACACGCCCCATATATGCAACTATATAAATACCAGAAACATTTTGTATATCAAGTGATCAAGTTTTCATGACCATACCAAAAGGTAAGCTTTTCAATATCCTTATAAAAGACATGAACTTCTCAACTATGGGCACTAATAGATTACCTGAAGATGAGTGTATTTACAAGTGCGAGAAAAGACGCTGTCACAAGGGGATCGTCCCAGTGCCTTAGTCTTTCAAAATTTCTAATGGTGATAGTCATTGGGAGCACAAGTTCCTGACAAGTAAAAAGGAATGCAAGTATTAGCAGAGCAAATGGAGGTTTTATAGCGCCCAGGAGCAAAAATAACAAAATCTAGGCAACATGGAGCGCATAAGCATCCATTTCAATTTACGCATCAGAATGTTCCTCAATGTATATAACCACACAATTATGTCCTTGAAAAAGTTGCTAACTTTTCTCTTTTGTTGATTCGAGGTGCCTCCATTAAGAGGTAAAAATACATTTACAAATCAACTAGGATCACAATTGTCATCAAAATCCATCCAAGTCTATTAAATATCTTAAGCTTTTTTCTCAATCAATAAACAAAATATATACTAATATATTAAAGAGTACGTGCTAAAAAAACTAGTTTGACTTCAAAAAGTCCAAGGGGGTCTCAATGTGGACAAAGTAATTTTGATATGATACACATTTAAAAAGCGTGTGAAACTGAAGTAACCTAAAAAAGAATGGCTTTTGGTGGGATAATTGTGGACGTAAATACTACAAAAGGAATTTAAGAAAAGAATTACATAAATTCCAACCTTGAAAAGGTCAATGTTACTGGGAATTCCTTCAATCATTGCAGCATCAATTGTGGCTTGCGTCTTCTCAGCTGCCCTGTATTTATCTCTACATATCATTGCTGCTCTTTCCACCAAATTCATTTCAGCAACAACGAGCTTTTTACTCAGCACGACCCCCTGTTTCACCAACGTGTTCTTCCAGAAACCAAGTGAAGCATTAGAAGTCCATGATGCGGACCTCATCCATTTTCGCAAGTAGACACTACCATCTATATCAAACACGTGATTAATACTTTCATATGCCTCGCCAGTGAGCCGCAGTCGTTGACCTAGTTCATCGTTACCCTTGATTGTTTTCTTAATCATAGGTCCACCCCAACAATTAACAGCAAGAGCTTGGAGAACAACATCACCGAATGGCGCATTTTGTAAATATGAAAACTGAACCAGTTTAGTAGGCTCATCTAAGGTCCTACGCATAAATTGGAGAGCCTGAAGTCTTGCAATAGTATTTATGGCATAAATAACTGCCCTTTCTTTCCCCTTGTGAGCACCATATACATCATAAACTGATTGATCGCCATCCTTGGGTCCGAATTCACTTATGAATTTGTATAAAGCAATTATTTCATTAATAAATGCATACCACACATCCCTTCTCATCTCACCTCCCAAATCAACGAATTCAAGTACCCATGATTCAGATCTGATAATATGAAACAACGGGGAAAAAAAAAATTGTTACGCTAAATCTATTATTTAATGGGTAGTCAATAGGGGAACTAAAATAAAATTATCTCACTTAAATTCGGTTTTGCATCGATATGTTGTTTCGATAAAGCACGAAATGACAATAATACTCAAAATAATTCATCAGTAAGCCAAATTCTTAAACCATTTCAAGTAAAACAAAAGGGCTCAAACAATCTCAACAATTTTAATTCTATTGTGTCTGTGTCTGTGTTTCTGTTTGGGGAGGGAGAGGGCGATGGGGTTGGGAGGCCACTGAGGTCCACATTTCAACGATGCAGGCAGTAATTACTTGCATCCTCAGTCGATTTCTGTCAGGATGGCCATGATGGCAACAAGTATGCAAATCAAGTGAAGAAAAGAGAACAGAATAAAAACAAGCAGAAAAGTGAACTTTAAGCAATTAGTTACCCCAAATAAGTCTTCCAATCTAGATTAAACGAGAGCCGGGTGCTTTATTCTTTTAAATTAAGGGATAAGTCTGATGGCTAATATAAGACTTTGATAATGAACTTCATCGCAGAGAAAGAAAATATGACCATTGCTTTTTTTTTTCTTCCAATCCACCATCACATTCTAAGTGTTTTATGGATAAATAAAGACAGCTATTGCAGGATTTAATAAATTTACAACAGATGGGTAGGAGAAGCGTACTCACTCTGGACTGGAGGTAACAGATAAAGCAGAATCAAAAAGATTTGATCCCAAAGGTCCAACCCTTGTTTTCTCTATTCTCGAACCATTTCCCGTAAGATCCAGCCTAACAGCACCTCTCTGTCGCATCAGGCCAACTGCCGGCAACAATGTGTGCTAATATTCCAAAAGGATAAAACATTTCAACGAGATAAAAGTTTCTTATTATGAGTGCATTCTTTTACACAGAATATAACCTTTTCCTTTCATTCAAAGAGTGAGTTGATTTACAACTTCTACTTAATTTTGGATAAACTGAATATGCATTGTTGAAAAGCGAATAAAAATAGAGTATACAGCGTTCCGTGTTCTTGAGTATGAACAACTTTTTAGATCAAATTCGTTTGTAAAACCACTCAAAGACTAGGAAAAGCACTTGGTTTAAAACTTAAATTATATGGGCATCATTTAGCCCAAGTGCGCCAGAAATAACAAATGCTACCATATATATCCGTCTCAGTCCATCATGGGACTCGTATAGCATTTTGGCGCTGCCTTTTTTTTTCCTCTTGGTGTCTTTGTCATCCCAGGTGTAGTTAGACTTAAGTTTTATTTTTTGTTTCTTCTATGGTACAACTTCTAACCAATGTTACTGATGAATGACATAATATTTTCAGTAAAATAAAATTGAACTCATTTAGTGCACTCCTAAGCCACAGTGACGACTTTCTCTAGCAATGAAGGCATTTGACTGCTTCATAACAATACCTCAAAATAGAGTGCCCTGTCAGTCAAAGTGAGTTTTCCTGGCCATGCCATGTTGTTTTCCCATTTTATAACAGGCTGCTTTCTGCTAGAACCAAGGCAGAGGATTCTCTCCTTAGCAAGATGGGAAAACTCTTGAAACTGGCATGATTTCCGTCCTTCATGCACCCTACACCAATATGATGACAAGAAAGACTGAGAAAGTCCACACTGGGAAGATGTTTAGTATTAAGAGATTTGTCCACAAATTTCAAATTATGGAAAATGTGAAATGAAGGATCTACGTAGTTCACTAGAAGATTGAATTAATTCGGCCTTCAGAGAAGAACATGCCACTAGAACTCGATATTCAAACATCAATAAGTGGAAGGTAAGAAGAGCACCAAAAAGTATGTCTATATGTTGCATAAAAATGGTTAAACACATTAAGCAATGCATCATAATCTACAGGAAAGTCATTTACATATCTCTCAAGATTTGAACTTTCTCCATTTTTTTTAATTTTATTTTTGACTTGGAACTGATATAGACCCGGTTGTGACCATTTCTTCAACCCTGGTGTTTTGAGTTGTCTTTAATAAATATGAGATCCAGTTATCTTCATATACTAACATAGTACAGGAGAAAGTATTTTTGTGTTATCTTATTCTAATGAATTTAATATTTATGGTGAAGGCTGATGAGCATTGGAATAATTATTTGTTATAAGATTTTTGCAGAAAAAGTCGAAAGCATACATGCTTTTTGATGTTTTTATGCTTCGACTACATAAATCACTTTTAGATGATGTCAAGACTAACACAGAATTTTTTTGTAATATGAACAAGTTTGGAGATTTCAAGAAATAGTATAGTACAATAATCAGCTGAACAGTTGACATTGCAACATATATTATTTTAAATGTCACTGGAGGAACCCAACTGTGCTATATCAAAACCTACTTGGAATAAGTTAATAAAAAGTTTATGTTGCTTGAACTTGACCACAAGTATCTGGGATTTGTCTGATCTAAATGAAAATTATCCAAATATCCAAGTACATTTGAATGGTTCGACAATGGTCGGCATGGATTTTTTATGTAAGAATTTCAGTCCACAGTAGCATAGCAAAAAGGAACATGATATGTCTTGTGCAAATTGGCAGACCCAGCGGAATTAATCTCTTTATTAAATAATAGTTGTAAGGACACAAAGCGGTACATTCGGTCTATAATAACCATTTCCTTAACACAATTTCTCCTCCCAACTTTTTATATATTCTCTATAGGACGTGTTGTTTTTATCAGGTGGCGAGGGCTTGAAATCAAACCCTGATGGGGAGTTAAGGGGAAACTGACCGATGGGGCTACCAACTGTATCATTTTCACAATTTCTGTGCTATTTCAGAATCAGTCATCAATACTTAAGCCCTCAAAGATGGAAAAATTCTGCAAGTTGGTTGAGGTGCTATAACATCAAAGATCATAGGAGCATTACAGATAAAAAAAATTACAATAACATAGAATAGCCAAAGACGTCTTAATCAAAGTTGAAAAGAAACAGTTCTCACTTGAGAAGTTCGTCAATATATGTTGACCATATGCTAAATGAAATGCCCCAGTCATCACCAGCAAGAGCTTTGAAAAGGTTATGTGCAGTTGACCAATCAGCCACACCAGAAACTGCAGGAGCAATTCGAACAAAAGCCTCTTCTCCTACTAGACTCCTCTTCAAGTTCAGCAAATATGAATTATTAGTTCTGACATTCAACACTTTTTGTCAAACTAAAGGTAAAAGGAAACTAATTGGCATATATTACAAAAGCATAAACAGAGAAATTGAGTATTACATTAGCTCCTAGCTCTCCTACCCCCCGACCCAAAGCCCAAAAAACAAGGAGAAGGGGAGGGAGAAAAGCACCAGTAAATATTTCTGTAGTACAATAACTATTTAACTCGTCAATCATTAAATCATCATTAGCAACATTATCTCTGAGATTTACGAATGATCTATAGTTCAATTTTCTTTTCAAGATATGAAGTCTCAGATGTAAGCTTCTATGAAGTAAGATACGTTAAAAAAATGGCATATCCAGGGAAGAACCTAAGTAAAATAAAAGTAAAAGATCATCCTGGCACGCCAACAACTGTCAGCTTTAAAATAGTTAAAAGAAAAAGGAGAAGGGGAGGGGGAGGGGAGAATATCACCAGTAAATATTTCTGTAGTACAATAACTATTAACACATCAATCATTAAATCATCATTGGCAATATTATCTCTAAGATTTGTGAATGATCTACAGTCCAATTTACAACTTTCTTTTCCAGAAATGAAGTCTTAGATGGAAGCTTCGACGAAAGAAGCTATGTTAAAAAGAATATCCAGGGAAGAACTCAAGTATAATACAAGGAAAAGATCATCCTGGCATACCAACAACAACTGTCAGCTTAAAAATAATAATTGAAAAAATGTCAAGTAGATCTTTTCTTCAATAAACACATTGTATAGAAAAATCATTGTCTGAGATGAGCTGTATAACAGATTAAACCAGTAATAGCGATCTGTTTCATAGAAGGTTTTTTTTTCCAGCAATAACAATATCATCTTTGATGGGACACCCTCAATGTAATATTTATAATTTATCCTCTTAAAGTTTCTTGTAGAAAATGTTTGTCGTCAAAGCAAGTTAATCTTCATTAGTTTTAAACAATAACTCAAATTTCATTCAATTTATATGTTGATCTACTCGATTGCCTCTGATAAAATGTAATAAATTAGAAAGGGGAGTTACAAGCAAGTAAATAAAGAAAGCAACAGCTGCATATTACAATCTACTAATGAGGAGAACAACTAACACAAAGAAAATTAGTATTAGAAGAAAAAACCTGGAAAGTATTTCTCCCCAAAACTTCAGCTCGGTAATCCTTCTGGCTGCTGTAGGGATGCTCCCAGGCAAGCATAGTAACAAAAATAAGTCTCTGAAATGCTGGTTCCTATATTGCACGTCAAACTACTAATGAATTAGTAAGTTCCAAAAGTTGAATCCTATCCTAGTCCACATAAAAAAATAAAAAATAAAAAATTCAAAGTGTGCGTATACAAACATGAGAGTGTTTGTGTTGCATATGCATCCTTGTGGCTAGATCTGTAGAGCACAATATACAGTACATTTTCCCCTCGACTGAAGTTCTCAAGTTTAGTGGGGTACTTTGAGAAATTCACATGTATTAAGTCATCCGAATACACTGTAATAGGGGTCCTTGTGGCTGGATCTGTAGAGCGCAATATACTGTAAATTTTCCACTCGACATAAGTTCTCGCGTGTATTTGGGGTACTTTGAGAAATTCACATGTATTAGGTCATCTAACATTTCCTCCTGTATTTTTTCCTTTTATTTTCTATTTTGTGTTTATTATTGCTCTCTATAGTACAGATTAATCGTTTAATCCATATCACCTGTAACTGGATCAGCATCTTCTAAAACTCAAAGAATACATGTTATTATTTTGCATTGATCAATTACTAAAAAGAATCGTTCTTCCAGATTTCATATGTTTGGATATTCAGCCAATTGCATATTTATATTTGCTACTTGCACCACGAACTCTACTAATCTATGCATCTTGATTGTCAGCAATAAGAAAATATTAATTATGAAAATGGAAAAGGTGCCTAAATTTGAGTTTGCCCCATGAACGAACCTTGAGGCCAGGATGAACTTCAGCATTATTCCTTGACAAAAACCTGAAGAAGCAGTACTCCACTAAATTACGGGGATTATTATAAATAGATTCAGGAACAAGCGCTCTAAATATCTTCTGCATTTTGCCCCCAGTCAAACCATTCATCCTGCATGTCTTAGTTAACGAAGAAGTCAAAAATTAATTCCACACTAGTCAATAAGATAGATTTCATTGACTCTGAACCTGATAAAAATAAAATCACAAGGTGAGAGTTATGAATTCATATTGTACTCATTCAATAGTTAGGTGAGACTAACTTCCTACCAATTACGGTTTTCCACAGGGAATACATGTATCTATGTCAAACCTGGTAATCATAGGCAATAGTTAGAATAAACCTAAAAAAATTATCTCTACAAGTAATAGTAGTGAATTGATTTGGCTATTACACTTTCTCTCTCCTTGACCCAAGCAAAAATAATCAAAATCCATTGCAATTATATTTGATTCTTAACGTATACACGAGTTCTATTAAACGAATAAAATACGTAAGCAACTAAAAAAAAAAAAGAAGAAGAAGAGAGAAAGTAATTAGCAATTATATATCAAGGACACCTTCCAGTTTAGTAAAATCAACCCATATTCCCAAATAAAGTTGAAATAAGAAAACTGCAACTTTACCGGCTGAATTGCTCAATAGAAACAATGGCAGCTTCAGAAAGGTCTCCACCAGGGGTTTTGCTATCAACAGTATGTTCCGTGATGAAGATGTCCTCCATATCTTCACTATCTTTTGGAAGATTTGGCTTTCTATCATGAACAGTATTAACAAATGGGGAAGTTACTTCATTCAAAAAGTTTTGGGTCTTTGAGAGCCATCGGTTTACTGATTCTTGCACCGTATCTGAGGAAATAAATTCTGCATCATATTAATCTATAACGTATACTCACCCTTTGGTTTTATCTACTGAATAACAACTAGATTTAGAATGTAAAATCATCAAATTACAATTAAACAGTAATGCTTATAAAATTCGTCAACAAGATTGAGAAAAATAAGACTCGGCAACATGTCAAACCATGCTCTGTCGCTAAGATCATTAAAAGAAAATCAGTAAAACCTAAAACCCAAGTTAGCAAGCGTCAAGAATATGTACACCACTAAATCGAAACAGACAATAATGAGGTACAAAAGTGTAGTCTTTTTGCACTTACTGGCATCAATATCATTGAATTTCCGTTTAGTGTCGCGCAGAGACCGACTCACCAGCTTGAACCCAAACTTGTCATCCGTCGAAGACGAGGAAGAAGAAGAAGGATCAGAGTCGAAAGAATTTGAAGGAGTCTTGCCACTGCAAAAAAATCTGAAAAGGAGCTTCTGTTGATGCTGTGGGAGTGTATAAAAATGTGATGATTGTCCAAATTGGGCTGTTTTTACTGGGAATCTTGAATGCATCTTCCTGTACTCGCCACTATAATTTGCAACAGTTTCGTTTTCTGGTTTTCAGAATCCAAGATTCAAATTCATGATTTCAAGATTAAAGAGACCAAAAACGAAATTAAAACTAAAAATTATAATCAAAATATATAAGCAGAACATTCAGGACTCGAAAGGAGTTCGTCTCAGGACAGAAGACAAAGGGAGATTTCGAGAAGTGCTTTGCTGAGCTGCGCGGAATTAGGCATATGTGTCTAACTCGGATGCTGATAGTTGTACGGTTGGAATTTTTTCTTCAAAGAATAATTTAATTAATTTTCAGATTTTTTTATTTTTTTATTATATGTAATTCGATTTGCTAATGGATACTCTTCCTATCAGCGTCAACAGTGACACAACATTGATTTGCATAAACAAAACATTATGGATAATTACTTGAGATATCCAATTTTGGTACAAATTCCTTAATTTTTTTAATTATATATTCTTTCAATAAATTAATTTTATATCTGAGCTCATAAAAATTTTCTATTTTTTAATCGTATATTTTTTTAAAATATCATTTTTGAAAAAAAAATATTTTCCAAAAATTTATGTTAAATAGGTCATAAATAAACTTCAATCGTCGAAAGTTAAAAATAGCATACAAGAGAATATTTAAATCTCTATAAACTCACGAATATAATCCATAAGAAACATATCGTCCAAAATCAGTGTCGTGGCATTAATAATGTGAAAATATCAATTGGTGGTAACTCCATCCAATTTCTTTAATTGAACCGGTAGAAATTGATGACATGGTAGTTTATAAATGATGACTGTCGTATATTTTACTAAAATTGTACTTATTTTACGTCAACAACTAAAGATTACATGAGATAATAATCACATTTATTAATTCTCATCCTTATTTTTTGTAAGCGAAATAGAACGACGTTATTTCAGCCTCTGTATGGTGTAGATTAAAATATATTTAAAACATCAAATCAAATTCAACATTTTGTTTTAATCACACGTTTCATTGGACTCACAACTTTTCAAACACATTGTCATCAACTTTTATAAAAAACTAATTTTAATCTACAGCGAATGAGGGTTTAATTGAAATCAAATTAAAGTATAATTATCAGATTGAAATCATAATATAAAGTATAGTTACTCAATCTAAAAAAATTTATGCTCAAATAACAACGATTAGAGATCTCCGGTATAAGTAGACACTGTATAATTAAATAAATAATGTAAATTAAGGATTACCAAAACTCTTTCCAGATAACAACAATCTAAGTGTAATCCACGCTCGAATAACATATTGTCACAACAATCTTCTTATCGATTACAACAATCTTCTTCAGGATTACAACAATCTAAGTGCAGATTTAAAATCACCAAAATTTAAGTTATATATTGTCACAATCTAAATAAATCACTAAAATCTTTCAAATCGATTACATCACAATGTACGAATATAACAACATTCAACTAAAAAACTATTTAAAGACGTCAATTATCAGTCCATTACATACTAAACATTTCATAAATCCTAAACAAGAAAACGAACGACCATCTTCATCAAAATGTCTGAAGAGAAAAGTATTGCAATTTTTGTAACAGTAACAGTGTTGGGAATGTTGATCCTGAGCAACCGGGCAAGCGCAGCAGTATATACTGTTGGGGATGCTGCAGGTTGGAACTTCAATGTAGCTGGCTGGGAAAATGGCAAGCATTTCAGGGCAGGCGATGTACTTGGTATGAACTTATTTTGATATGAATCTCTAGCACTATTTTTTTTTTCCTTTACATTTCTTATTGGATGATCACGATACTTTTTCGAAAAATCGGAATTTTCGATTGTGTCATCTGCATGAAATGAAAAAACTACGTTCGCCTTGGCTGAATAGTGGGAAACCATTTCATAGAACATGACTTGTGCTTGTATTGGCAACACTGCACTGTCAAAAGTCCAAGTTAATCAAGAAAAAGTTTGTCCTGTTCCTATATAGTTGTTGGTTAGTTCAAAATTTAATGCCCATTTTGAATGCTTCAACACTCCCAACTGCAGAATTTTTAACCTTTTCGCTGCCTTCTACTCTGCCCAACATCATAATTTCTGTTTTCATAATAAATTCTCCACTTCCCTTAGTTGCATAGATCCCACTTTCATCACACACTTAACACACAGAGTGAGAAAAAAAGATGGCGGAGGGAAGAGGCGGTGCATTTGTCGCCGGTGCACTGGTGGTTTATCTGGTGGCGCTTTTCGGTTGTGCAGTGGCTGAAGCCGCCACTTACATGGTCGGAGGCGCCAGTGGTTGGACGTTTAACATAGCCTCTTGGCCCATAGGCAAGAACTTTAAGGCCGGCGACATAATAGGTAAGCAAAACAGAGTAAATTAGTTACTCCTTCGCTGCCTTGCCTAACCGTTTCAACATGCTACTTCATGTGTAAAGTAAATTTTTATTTTTCATGAAAGATCTGTCGTGTGCATAATTTTCATAAATGGGTCGAACCCAAAATATTTGGTTGATTTTTGAATTGAAAAGGGTAACATTTGCGAGTATTTTGACGTGTTTGCAGTGTTCAACTATATACCGGCAGCTCACAATGTCGTGTCAGTAGACAGGAGAGCATACAACAGTTGCACCACTCCTAAGGGCGCCAAAGTGTATCAGAGTGGAAGAGATCGGATTAGGCTTGTCAGGGGACAAAATTGCTTCATTTGCAATTTTCCTGGGCATTGCCAGTCTGGAATGAAGATAGCCATCAATGCTATGTGAATTCACTTTGATGATTATCATAGCTTGTACTGCTCTTTGAATAAAATTTGTAAATTTTAACTTTTAAGTGAAGTTTTTCTATATCAAAGTTGTCAAAAGTTGAAAATTAAAATGTTCAAAGAAGATGAAACGATCATGCTAGCAAAAAGTGTTTCAAAGATAAAAATATGAAATAATTAAAATTTAAACTTTTAATGAGACATTGAGATGACGTATTGTCCCGCATGAGGAAGTCATCGATCAACAGTGACAAAGCAATTTCATAGTCTGATAGAAGAATTCACGTTCTTTAACGAGTAAAGGGGTCGGGAATATGTTTATAAGGAGGAGGGAACATAAAGCAATCGCAACACTTCTCTAAATGCACACACACACAAAAGCAAAGCGAAAAATCATAACGCCGTAGAGTAGAAAATATGGAAGCGTGAAAATACTAAAATCACGAACAACCTTCTAATTTATATTAATTCACTCGTGCATGCAAAAAGGTTTAGCATCAAATGTTTGTTGAATTATAAAGAATGCTAATAATTTGAACACAATTGAAAATAGGGGTGGGCGCGGGTCGATTCGGTTCGATTCGATTTTTTTCGGTTCCAAAAATTTTCGGGTATTTAGTAAATGTAATTAGGGCTGGGCAAAATGTCCGAACCGAACCGGAACCGAATCGAGCGGGTTTTTTTAAATGAAATACCCAAACGGGTATCCGAATCCAGAACCGAATGGTTTGGTTCGGTTCTCGGTTCTAGACCCAGAACCGAAGAACCGAATAAGAACCGATTTTTTTTTTATTGGATAAATCAATTTCTTTTATTTTTTCTAAATAAATTAATAATTTTTTTCTTATTAAATCTTATTAGTTGAACAATTTAGAGTTTATTTATGTTTGTTAGCTGT